GTTTTCTTTTTTGTAGGTTCTTTTATTTATGACTGCTTGTTGGTAGAGGGGTAAGCGGACTGCAAACGTGTGATTTGTAATTTTAAATAACTGGCAGGACACCATGAGACACTGCATGGGTGCTATTTATGGCTCTAAACAAAAATATGAGAGTAACAGAGCAGAACCAGGCAAGAAGTCAAGGCAGGGCAGGAAAGGGGTGACAGGAGTGAGGGAAGTTAGCAGGTGGGACAGGATAGGGTTGAGGGAACAGGTGCAGAGGTTGCAGGTAGAGAGCAAACTAGAAACCTCAACATCAAATTGCATTTTTTTTTTAAAGTCAGTTTAGTTGCAATTTCAGCATCAACTTGATTTTTTTATAACTGCTTTTCTAAATTAAAAGGTTTGATTGCACTTAAAATATATCAACACAGTTTGTACTTTATTTATTACTTTGTTAGTACAAGGCCTGGCCTACACCTAAAACTTGGGTCAACTTAAGTAAGCCCCAGTATAAAAACCGCTAGGTCGAAGGAAGAATTCTTCTGTCAACCTAGCTACTGCCTCTTAAGGGGGTGGATATAAAATTTTTATTAAAGTTAATATTTAAAATTTTTTTAAATTTTTAAAATTTAAAAGGTAAGAGGGAAGGTACTGTACATCTGGGGACAGGCTTGATTTATGATGGATTACAAGTATCCATTACAAGGTTCACGAGATACATACATAGTACATAACCAGCATAGACCCAGATTGGGGCATGGGAGTTTTTAAGACATCGGTGGATAAGTGGGCTCACACACAATGTATTAGAGTTCACGTCAGTATTGGTGTAGCGAATAAGTACATGGGTGGGGTGCATCCCTTGGTTTGTCAGGGAAGGAAGTGGGTTATTTCCCTGACCAGCGGTCTCAATTACTCAACTTGGTACTGACTGAAAAAAAACTCCTTCCATTGCTGTAACATGTGTCTATACCAGAGCAGAGTAGCTGCAGCGCTGCATCTGTAATGCTTGTAGTGTAGACATGCCCTAAGTGGTTTTGAGCCTTTACAGGACATACCCAGTTTAAATAGCAAACTTACAAACTCCATAAAAGGCTTACACAACTTAAGTGTTGCATAACTGTAAGCTCTCACAGGCAGGGCCCATGCATTTGCTCATTTATTGAGAAACTGAAAATCTGAGTCTTTTCCTATAGATTTTAAAACTGCAAAGAATGTTTAAAAAGTACAAACTGAGGTGTGAAGTAACAATTAAGGGTTTTCATTGTTTATAAAACAAGCTAATTTCATGATTACAATTTGGTGTTAGACTATTACTATTTCATTTTTTAGAAGGACCACTTCTGAGATATTAACAATACCACACATAGGTTGAAATTCTGATCCCACGGGCACAGCTTGAGTAGACTGGCTAGCTGTGTATGCAGGCAACCAGCACAGGGATAGGGAGACAATTCTTCCCCAAGTCCAGAACCAGGGCAGTACAGTGGCCCATCCTTTGCAGTCAGTGGACTGTACAGTTCATGAATCCACTGGCCACACAACTGCTCACCAAGATACCCCTTTCTTTTCTCCTACAGAGGGGGCACTGCAAAACTTGGCTCTGTGGTACATAAGATACCGCAAAGTCCCACTGTGCTCTCTTTCAAAGACCTGGCCCTGCTGTACAACAGAACCAGGCTTTTTGCATATAGAAGGATTCTTCCCTTAAAAAAATGTAAGGACCACTCAGGTTATAACAAGAAAAGGTGGTGTTACAGAATAGCAGACCCAACCGTGAAAATATCAATGTTAATTACAATTTAAGAAAAGAATAAGTATATTGGTTTGCCAGAACATTTTGTACCTGACCAAAAGTGATTTTATAATATTCAATAATATTAGTTGAATAGAAGCTAAAGGAAGATGGTTACTTAAACAATATACTCTACATTAATTCAAGCCTGGTTAGCAGAAAGAAGTCAGTAACCGTCATCAAACAACAGATGATAAATTGCTATGGAGCATTTTGGTCAACAGTGTAGATCATGCTTTTAGTAGATATTCTTTACTTAAAAGTATCTACAGAAATGAACATTAAATTTTTTTAAAAGCATCTTCTATAATAGAAGGACATATCTGTTGTGGTACAAATGCCAAAGCACAAATAATTCTCAACCATATCAGTTACCAGATCCACAATCTTATAGGAGGCAACTGCTTTGTAGAGCCCTTTGTGGTACTATTTTTAATCCCTTTCCCACTATAACAGTGGGTCCTGCGGGATATCCTCCCAGTCCTGCTGCAGGGCTCTACGCTAGTCCCACACAGAGCTCTATTGTTTTGCCCATATTTTTTTATTAAATCAATGGAACATCCCTGTAAAAAACAGTACCTTTTATTCAGAAACAGCTCAATCCATTAGCATCGCCAGATGGCAAGTACATAATGTCTTGGGGCAAAACAAGGACTATTCTTCTAAAATAATCTCCTGGAAATTCTGACAGCCTAATAGCTAGCTAGGTAAAGCTATTAAAAAGGATACCGCTACTATTTACTTCAAGATGGGTACTCTGGACAGGCAGAAAAAGGATGACCACCAAAGTTACTGATATTAAAAACAAGCCATAAATTCTATGATTTTGATTCTTTTTGTTTTCCATCAGATTCTACGTTTCATTTAAAACACACTTCTAACCTTAAATTCATTGGGTCAATGTGCAATTTTTATAGACGTCTATACTTTTCCTTTCAAGAAGAATATTTTTGAGGTCTGGGCATCAAAGCTGAGCTGAAACAGGTTTCCTTACCAGGTTTAAGCTAAGCACCCTTTTTCTTAGCATAGATGCACCCTTTGGCTTGACAAGTGCTAAGCAGTGTGACCCATCACCTTGGAAAGTAAGATGCTTCAGAGCTTGTCTATACAGGGGAATTGTGTTCAGCACAGAAATAGCAGAATAATTATTCCATAACAGCTATTCTGGTATAACTCTCCTGAGTGTATTTTGAAATAATTATGCTTCCAAAGCAGAGTAATTATTCCAGAATAGAATGTCCACATGAGGGAGTTACTCCACTATAGCTATTCCAGTATAACTATTCCTATGCCTGCCAATTTCCCCATACAGACAAGCCCTCAAATCCCCTCAGCTCAGTAGTCACCAGTTTCAAACACATCTGCATATCAGGCAGTTTAGATGACAGATCAGATTATGCTTTGTGGGGACCCTCAGTTTGCCCCTGCTTTGCTCTTCAACCAGTTAGGCCAGTGGTTGGGAAGGCAGAAGCTTAAGTTCAGCACTGCTGAAGCAAAGCCAGTATTCGCAACAGGGAGAGAGAAAGAAAAGCACAGAGGGAGAGGCAAACAAAAAAAGACAGCCCAAGACTGAAAATGAAGAGGAAAAAAACAAAGATAGAAGCCAATTTACTTGGTGTAAGGGTGGGACATTTTTGGCTAATCTAATTATCATTGTTAAACTGTCTCCCAAAAATGGAGAGAGAAAACCTTTCTGTAAAAAGACTGCATTCTCCATAGAAAGAGCATTGGGTGCAAGGGAGATTTACCACCACCAACCTGAAAAGAAATTAAGATAAGAGTAGCTTACATTGTGAATGTCATCTTTACAAAGACATGACTCCTGTTAAACTAGGTCTGCGAACTGTCTCCACCCAAACAATAGTAGTAAAGGTGTGAATTCTGCCCCAATTCAAAATTTACCTTAAAAGAGTGTAAATTCAAAGTCTATTTCAGATTATTTAAATGCTATAATCATCAAATACAGCAACATAATTGAGGAACACCCTCAAATGGAGTCAAAACATAATTGACAATATATTTAGGCTCACCATTCCCTTTTTCATCCTAGATTAGCTTTCACTTGAGAGATTTTTTCCTCATTATTTTAGCTAGAAAATGACAGGTGTCAGCCCCTCAGAATTTCTCCTCTTTTCCGTAGTGGTTACAATGAAAGGTGCCCACAGTACTGAAGGGTAGTGGAGTCAAAATACCTAAACAATACCCTTGGGGATTCAGTTACCTTCGTAAAAGAGACAGCATTTCAGATTTGGAGAGTGGATTAAGGAAGGCTATGGCTATCCCTCTGTGCAGCCTGATGTAAGTAGATGGAGACTCTTAGCAGATCTACATTGCTAAGCTACTGCCTTCATTTCAAGAATCTTCTCGTGTCATTTTAAAGACTGGGGGATTTAAGCAAGAATTGGGAGTGAAAGCTAGCGACCATCACAATGTGTGTGATGAAAAAGCTCAACTGAGTGTGGGAGCGGCCCTTGCAGTTTCGCCACTGGCCCCTATAGCCCGGCCTAGGCAGGCCTACAACATTTGAGAGAGAAATAGGCGGCAGCCTTTAGCACCAGCGCCGACATGCGAGGGACCTGCGGCTGGGTGTTTGGGGGAAGGGGTATTACTACCCGAAGAGGTGGCACAAAAGGCAGCCAGCCCCATTGTCCAGCCCATGCAAGCGCCGCCGATCCCTTTGAGCATCAGGCAGGGAGATGAGGAGGCAGCTGGTTAGCCGGGCGAGGAGGGGGCCACACGGACACTGGCGCATCCCGCCGCCTGCCCAGGCAGGCCCGGCCCCTCACACAGCCCCATGTGGAACAAGCCAGAGCGGGGAACGGCGCGATCGAGCCCCCAGCCCGGCAGCCCCCCACCTTCCCCTATCTCCGCCCCGCCGTGGGGTGAGGAGACGGCGGCCGCCATGGGAGGCTGTAGGCCCACGGCGGGGCGGCGATGGGAGGCGACCGGCCGCGCACCCCCTGCCGGGCTCCCTGCTCCCTCCCCAGGCCGCGCCCGCATGACGGAGAAGAAAAACCCGGAGGCATTTTCCTTGCGCCGCCGCCGGGCCACCGGCGGCCACTGCCCCCGCCGGGCCCGGCAGCCGCCCAGCTCGGAGCGGGGTGCGGGCCCCTCCCCTCGAGCCCGCCCGGGGCGGAGGAGGGGGAGGAGAAGGAGGAGGCGGCAGCGGCGGCCGAGCTCAGCCCCGGCGGGAGCGGGACCCGCCGGCCCGGCCCGGACTCACCTCCACGTCGCGGCCCTTGTTCTTGAAGCTCTTGATGCGGTGGTTCTCCAGGCCCGCGGCGGCGGCGGCGTTCTCGGCCATGGCTGCTCCGGCGGCGGCTCCCAGCTACTGCGAGGCGGCTCCGCGGCTGCTCGCGGGGAGGGGGGGAAAGGGCGGGGGGAAAAGGACGTTCCGTGACGAGCGCGAGGAGGGGGAATGGAAAGCAGGGGCACGCGCCGTTGCTGAGTGACGATGAGCGAGGCACGTGACACTGTAGAACACGCCTCCTATGCTTCAGGCCCGGCACTGCTACTGCTTCCCGTCCCTTCTTTATGCTAATTAGAGGGGCGCCTAATTTGCATAACGCGGAATCCATTGCAGTAGCGAGCGGCGGAGACTACAGGCTCCGGCATGCAATGCGGCTTGGAGTCTCGAGACTGTACGCCGCGTTGCACTCTGGGTCTTGTAGTCTCTGTGAGCCGCATTGTGGCGAGCTATGGGTCGCCCAGCCCACTCTGCCGGTGGAACGCACAGGGCGCGCTGTGCGTGGCGGTCTCCTATGGAGGTGGAGGAGTTGCAGCTGCCCGTGCCAATGCCAGGCTTTTATAGCATGTGCAAGTGCAGCAGGCTGCAGGGGCGCTGGAACAATTTGTACAGGGGGGTGCTGAGAGCCATTGACCCAAACTATAAACCCTGTATATGATGGAAACCACTTCAAGCCAGTGGGTGTGGCAGTACCCCAGTACTTCTAGTTCCAGCATCCAGGCAGCAGGTCTAGTCTAGATGTCTCCTTTCTAGCTCCCTCAACCTAGACTCTGCATTTCTCTCCTTCTGGGGGCATTTGGGGCACGTTTTTCAGGCTTTTCTCTGCAATTGTGGAAGCTGGAAACATTTTTTAAATGAAAACTGAGCTTGCCCTGTATTCCTGAGTCCAGGTGCTGGCGCTGCGGCTTTAAGACAAACCCCAAATAGTGCGTGCAAGACTTAATAAAACCATGAGAGTTGGGAACACTGCTTGTCACTCAGGCTGTGTATCTGTGTCGGTCACTTGGCTAATTGGCAACTTCCTGGTTTCAAGTGACCCATTCACTCAGGGTCTCAGGCCATCACTGCCTCAAAGTAGAATCATCCACTTCCACCACTAACAGATCTGGGGTTGCAATCCCATATGTGTCAGCTTTGATTACCTCAGCCGGTCTGATTTAGGTCTGCTGCCTCTAAATTTATTCCCTCAGGGCGTAATGACAATGAGAACGAATGACAAAATAGCCTCCATAAAGCAAAGTATTATTTGTTCAGTACAAAAGCAACAAAAAAACAGACTATATGTATGTATTGAACTAGTTTTATACTTTCAGAATCATCATAAACTGAATCAATGTCCAGAAGCACCATGTGCTGCTTTTCTGCTGCCAAACCCCTAATCAACACCATCCTGAGACATCCATTCAGAACTAACTGTGGCCTATTCTTCACTAGTCATGTTCACATTAGGAGAAAAAGTGTACTTTAACATGTATTAAAGGACACATGTTAAAAGTCCAGTGTAGGCAAGGCCAGTTTCGGTTTTAACACATATTAATGGACGATGTTAGCCCTAAGTTTGATAAGCTAACTTGTTAAAATCACAACTTGCTTTGTCCATGCTAGGATTTTAATACATGTTAAAGACACACTTCTTTTCCTAGTGTAGCCATTGAGAGGGCTACTCACTACGGCCTTATCTTCACTATAGAAAAATGGTGTGTTCTTAACTGGAGTTAGTTCCCTTGAGTTAACTAACTTGAGGTACAATCCTAGTGAAGAAAGACAGAGCAATTTGTAGTTTTCACATGAGTTAGCACTTAGCAGGTCAAGTTCCTTGCCTTCATTTGGATTTTAACTTGAGTAAAAACACACCTTTTTGTAGAGAGGACAAGGTCAAAATCATCAATACAGCTTCCTAAAAACCCTGGACTTCCCCTGGTGGCTCTCCCATGCAAATATTGACCTGAACACCTGACCCTGTTTGGCTTGTGAAATCTATAACATGGCCTGAGGTCATTTAGCTGCACACCTCTTAACAAGATTACACAAAAAGTGTGTTAAAAATAAAGATAGATTGTTATAACTGCCATTCTACAAATAGGTTTTAATGTTTACTCCAGAATAAGCTTTAAAAAGAATAAATCTAGCCTTTTTGGTTGCAGAGAAAATTGTAAGAGAATGACTGATGCAGTGTTGTTTGAATCTGGAACAAGGCACACGTCCCCTTTTGCATCTCATTGGGATGTAAACTCAAGTCCAATTATGTCTAAAGTAACAAATATCTAGTATGTGTCAAGCACAGCTTGAGATAGCTATCATATCCTAACATTCAGCTCACTTGAAAAGACATTCCATGGTAACAATGCTGCCTATTTAAAACTTGCAAATAATCAAATATTCCATCTGATTTTGTTTGTTTGTTAATAGAGGACAACATTTCCTAGTCTCAGCAACTTCAGTTTATAAAAAGTTGGACAGCAAAAAGGGTTGGATTCTGAAGTCACAAATCACAGGGTTTTGTGGGGTTCACACAAAATGTGGTCCAGCAGCAGAAAAGACACTTCACTTTCAAACCTATTGTAATTTGAATTTATGAACTGTGTTGCTTCTGCAGTTCCAAAAGGAGTCAAATCTTAGGCCCTTATCCGCAAACACCTGTCTACACAGGTATTCTGACTGAACACAATGGCTGTACTCATTTGCATAGAGTTAAGCACATACATAAGTCCTTATAATACCAGGGTTTTATTTCAGTCACTAAGGTATGCAGCTATTCTTTAAACACACACAGGGATCTGTTCTACATTGTCCGATCTGTTGAGCAAGGTGATACCATTGTACATAGTCACTTTTTGGAGTAGGACTGCACTAATACTTTTGAACGACTCTCTAATGATAGCTGGTATTAGGTTCATACACTTTCCCCATGAATTCTATAAATGTTAGTTTTCTTAGCAAAGTGTAATCTAAGAGTAGATTTTCACTGTGGCGTTAACTCGGGGTCTTACTGGGTGTTGCTCCAAACCCCTCCCATTCACACACACAACCTCTAACCCAAGTTTAGTGGTGCTTTTAACCCAGGCTAGCTGGATCATCTGAGGCTGCAGGCTAAAACCTTTGCAGTGAGGATGCAGGCTAAACCACTTCCTGTTGGTTATCCTGCTACACCTTCCCACAATTCCTCCGACGTGCCCAGAAGGACAGACACGTTATCCCACAATTCACTGAGGAAGAATCATAAAGTGGCTTATCTCACTGCAGTACAAAGAACTGTGGGTAATGCCCCTAGTAATACTAGCAACACCCCTTGGGAAGTGCAGCACCAGTGAGGATGCAGTCACAGACAGCGCTAAGCATAAGCAGACTAAGCAATTGCATAGGGCCCTGAGCAGCTCAAGGGAGTCCCCTATTTGCTTTTTATTATAAGAACTTGCCAGTTTTAGTACCTCTGGAGTGCACTCAGATTGTATTTTTAAGCTTTTCTCCACAACCATGAAGGCTAGAAACTTTTTTTTTTTTTAATGAAAGCTGTGATTCTCACTTCATGACTTGTCACTAGCTGCTGGGGCTTTAAGTAAAAGATCAAATATAATGAGAATAGGAAACACAGTGTCAAGGCTGGAAAACTATGTCCATAGAACTAATGAAATTATGACATCACAAGAATCAAGTGTGTGAATGGAGCAACTGAGAGGGGGTAGGGATAGGAGGTTCCCCCCTCCCCTCAGGTCTTATCTACACATAGTTTTCTACTTAACAAAATTGGCATTAACAACTGATTTAAATTGGGTGTGACCCACCCCCACTGTAAAGTGTCCCCAATAGGTGATTGTACTGATTTAACTCAAATTGTTTTTTTAAAATACAAATGTAGTTAAACTATTACAAAACTATGTGTAGAAGAGCCCTTAGAGTCTTTAAAGTTTGTTTTTGTTAACATCTTTTTAACTTCAGTGACTAACATTTTGCACAAAGATTCAGTACCTTCACCCCCAATAAACTAAGGTGTTAGAGATCACAATATGCACCCGAGACTTCCCAGGGATGTCGTCCAGCAAAGCTACAGAAGACCAAATTTGATATTCCTGATATTTCCAAAAGTACAAAACAAGCACAGGAGGGAAAACAGTAAAAAAAAAAATCTTTCATACCATTTTTATATATCATGAAAGAAGCAAACAGAGGTACAAGCTCCATCTTTAAAAATTCCTTTGCAGGTCACCTTTAAGAAAAACATTCTGGTACCATTATACTTTCACCCTGCTCCACTGTTTTGGAGTATCGTTTTGTTTGTCCATTTAAATATTAAACTTCCTTTCTCTCTTCTGGGCTGTCCAGCACCAGGTACATTTTCAGCATTCAGAAATTCAAAATAAGAGTAAGGCCAAGTAGAATAGAAAATGAAAATCCAGCCTCCCCACTTAAATAAATTTCACATATTTGGCACAAAGTTGTCACAGGCTTTGCCAACATTCCATTAGCCTTTCTGTTGTCTCTGATAATAAGTAACAGTTTGTTAAATAGTGTGGATGCTACAGATAAAAAAAATGTTTATCTAAAAGCTGTATAGAGAATACCTGGTAAATCTTTGGTTCAGTTCAATCAGTGTAAAGAGATAAAGACTTCCTTGAATTTGAAGAGATAGCAATGATCTAGGCTTCAAAAGATAACAGCAAGGTTATATTTGTGACAGTCATGCAGGAGATCTTTCTACTCTCAGTATGCACAATCTGAGTTGACTGAAGGCTATAAACCTGATGGGTTGCTAGAAAAAAAATTACATTATAAAACACCTCTGTTTACTATAAATATTCAAAAGATTGAGACTTAATTTCAACAAAGGTCTCATATTTGATAGCTAAGATTTTTATTTCTAGTCTCAGACTCTAGTAGGTTTCCTTCGGTATCAATATTGCTACTTTGGTATAGATCACCATAACTATAATTTGGGGATACTGAAGTCGGAGTGAACTCCTCCTAGATTATTAGAAGTTAAAGGCTGGCCACATGTTATTCAAGACATATTCCCCTCTTAGATCTAACCTTTGACATCTATGTCAAAAGTATTAATCATCTCCATGTAGGTGATTAGAAACCACAGTGCCTTAGAAATACCCAAGAG